CGGCGCGGGTGCCGGGGTCGCCCGCGCGCTCGCCAGCCGGCCCCCTCGCGCCCTCCGCGGCCTGCCACTCGTCGCCCTCCGCCGCCTGCTCCTCCGCGGCCCGCTTCATGCCCGGCACCATCTGGTCCTTCTCGCACGCCCGCCGGCTCGGGCCGGGACTGGAGCCCACTCTGGTGCAAGGGCCGGGCCTGTCGTGGGTGCACCCCGACGGGGTGGGCGTCCAGATCGACACCATCACCCCCGAGATCCGCGCGCTCTACAACGTGCTGGCCAAAGTGAAGCGGGAGCGGGACGAGTACAAGCGGAGGTAGGGACCGGGAAAGTGGGGACAGGGCTCGGTGTCATGCCACACGCAACGGCCGGGAGTTGGTGTGCGTTCCGGAGCGAAGAATCGGGGGTGAAAGAATAAGAGTACAGTTGGGGCTGCGTAACGAGAAGCTGGGGAGGAGCCGGCTGCGGGGAGACGAGAATCCGCAGGGAATGCAGAAGTCACGCTCGTGCCGGGAGGAGGGCTGCCGGGAGAACACGGGAATTCCGTGCTTTTCTTCTGGCCTGTCTGTCTCGTCTAGGCTACGGGGTTTGGAGACTGTGTTAACTGGGGGTTTGCCAGGTGTGAAAGAGATGCAGGTCGGAGAGGTCTGCATCTGGGGTACCTCTTCCTACCAGGCTCAGCCCTGGGGACAGTTTTAGGATATAAACTTCACGCACTCATCGAAAGTAAGAGGCAAAGGATATATAGCTTTAATCTGGGAGACTAAATTAAACGAAATTGGAAGGGGGTGGTGAGGGAGGGGCTGCACCCTGCAGTGGGTGGTCCTGTCTCTGCCCAGGGTTTCCTAAGGAAATGTCCATGGAAATCAGGTATCTGCTCTAGTTCCACAGGAAGAGTTCAGGAGACTTCAAGGCGTTGCTTGGAGTAGGTGAAAAAAATGGGAAAAGGAAGAGGAAAGGGAATTCCCTAGGGCAGGGGGAGGGGCTGGTGGTTGTCTCAGGGCTGGGGAGGGAGTCTGTGGGTGTGTAAACAGCAAGGTGGAGGAAGCGGGGACCCAGCCTGCAAAGGGACTGAGCAGGAAAAAGTTGGGAAGACGGACACACCCTACGACTTGAGGCTGCCTGGGGCGGGCCCAGTGTGTTCTGAGGATGAAGGTTTGGCTTTCTGAGAGGAACCCAGCCCTCCCTGTGGCATAGCAGAAGGGGTGCGGGAAGGGATGTCATGCCAGAGTGCCAGCTGTGTACAAAGTGGGTTTCTTAGGTGGCTGGTAACCAGGCCATGGGACAGGAGCAGGAGCTCAGCCAGTGCTTTGCAGACTGACCGATGCCATGGTTGAGGAGGGACGAGGCAACAGTCGGGAGGAGGCCTTGGTTTGGGGCCTCCAGTCTTGTCTCAGCTACCCTGAGCCCTGGTGGTCAGGCCTGGGAACTGCCTTTGCAGCCCGCTGTAGCAGGGGTTGGTGTCTGGTTTAGCAGCGGCTGAGGGCTGGCTGAACATTCTAGGAAACTACTGCTGGCTCTGGGGGCAGTCTTTAGGGACCGTTAGCCTGCTGGAGTCTGCCAGATCACAGAGCAGCAGACTTTCTGAGGCTGAGTCCTGTCCTCATGTTGGCTTCTCCGTTGTGGTCCATATTTTAAGTGTGCTTGGGAGTTTCAGCTGTCCTGAAGCCATCGTTCAGGTGCCACCCAGAACCAGCCTGCCCCTGCCCCTACAGGAGTTAATGCAGTCAGCAACGGAACATGGACAGTTTGGAATACATCCATAGCCACAGGAACAACTGTTCTCAGGGGCACTTATTTTTATTTATTTTTTTAACTGAAAGAGTGTTTGTCCTTGGTCCAGCTGTCCAGGGCAGCAAAGAGTTATTCCTTGGGGACTGATTAGCTCATCACTCTGCAGCATATTGCTGTGCAGAGGGCTCTGTAGCTAGAATCGTATGGTACGTGACACTGGCAGTCACTCATTCTTCCACCCCAGATAGCCTACCCTTGTTCTGGTCTCTTTATAGCAACACTAACTCCCGTCTTTAGCCTGGAAGGCAAGGGATGGCTTGAACGCTAAACTGGAAAGGAGTTGAGACCTCCTGGGTTCTATTTTCAGCTCGCCTGCCTTACGTGACCTTTTCCCTGGGCCTCAATTTTCCAATATAGGAATGGCCCCTGCTTTCTCTCTTCAAGGATACAATTTATTAGGAAGAGAGGTGTTTGGTAAATGCAGAGTACATGGAAATTGCTCAAATTCTGCCCACAATTAAAGGAAGCCTTTAAGTGAGACCACATTGAATGGAGGTCAAAGTAAACTTATTTGTGCAAAAGTCTGGCTGGAGAGCAAATAGAATCCTAGTGAGCTTCCAGATGATCATTTTCTGATTTTTTTACCCAGTAAGATTTCATTAATCTTAATCTTTATCTAACTTCCTTATTTAAGTTTCCACATGAATTTATTGAGTTTACTGTCAGACAATACTTCCCGCCCCCCCCCCACCCCGATGCATCTTGTCCAGGGTTACCGTCCCTTTGTCAGTCTTGCTTTCTTCGTCTGGGGACTCCTGGATTCCAGAGGCATGAGGGTAGCACATACCCTGCCTCCATGTTGTAGATGAAGACGACAAGGCCCAGAAAAGATCGGGGTCTCACCTAAGAAAATATATAACCCGGTCCTTACCAGGGCCCTTCACCGGCCCCGACCACAGGGACATGGAGAGGGACACGTGGCGCCGACAGGGAGGGGCAGCCGAGGTGATGCTGTTGGGAGGAGAGCTGCAGTGCGGCTGAGAGGAGCGGGGACAGCAGGGACAGGTGGGACCGGACAGGGCTGGAGAGGACAAGAGACGGGGGCGGGGAGGAGGGATCTGATCCCAGGCGACAGAAGCTGTTCTCTTGGATTTTAATTTTCTTTTTCTCCTCTTTGCTACATCCTAACCACCTCCCTTGTCTGAGGTTTCTTTCTTGGTGCAGTTCTCCTTCCTCAGGCTGAAAGAAGCCTTTCCAGAATGTGGCAAGAAATGAGTTATATGAGTAGGGTCTGAGTTGTGCTGCTACTCCAGACCTTGTAGGGTTCCGAAATGACGGGGCCAAGTGCTAGGCGGTGGCATTGCCCCCGCGCTCCCTTCCATCTCTGTGTTGGAATAGAACATGTGGAAAACCCAGCCCTGGGAAACACGTCCTGAGCACCCTGCCCTGTGGCCAACAGTGTCTTCTTAGCTTCCTTATGGCCTTAGTGTCTGAATTCTGGATCCTGGGAGATGTCACTTCTAGTTTGCATCCACCATACTGAGAAGCACCTTCAGATGCTCTCATTTCTCTCTGCGTTTGGGTGCTTAGTAGTCCCGGGCTCCTGATGTCCACTGCTTTCATGCTGCTGGGGTCTTCTGGCCTCAGGGCCAGTCCTGTCACCTCTCTATGGCTCACTTAGAGGGGGCTCTGGGTGGGCATTTTCTGGAGCTTGTTGGGGAAGGACTTTGAGTGTCTCCTACCAGGCTCTTGACCAACTCTGTTGATGCAGTATGTGTCCTGCAGATGCCTTTACAGGGTTAAGTGGTGCCCCAAGAGGCAGGGCAGCGGGCTAGACGAGCCTGTTCTGGTGCGGGCAGGAGGCGGGAGACCGGATCTGTGCGACTGAAGGTGGGAGACTGGGCTGCGTGGCGCTGGTGGTCTGGTGTGGGCAGGAGGTGGGGGATGCGGTCAGCCGGACAGCTGGTTGAG